ATGATGAGCAAATTGTAAAAGTTTATTAGAAGGGTAACTAGTAGGACAATCTGCCAAGGAGTAGATTGTTCCCAGAGCTGACAAAGATTTTCATTAAAGGGTGAATAATGACAGCAGGTCACATCCCCAAACCCGTAAGCATTGGTGGTGGCCTCGAGTTATTAGATAACAAATTAATTCTAAATATGTTGCTATAACCTTTTTGCCTGTAGAGGGAAAGATCCATTCCAGAGGTTCATGATCCTGCCACAAAACAGCTGTAGGATTTTGTCAGTAGGAAGGAGTATAAGAGAAATGGGTTTATGGGGGTCAACTCTAGTGAGTTGTGCTTGATTAACGTCTTCTTCCACTAATGACAGGGCTTGGGAGGCTTCAGGGGTTAATTTTTGAAGTGAAGTTGGATCTGCATTTCCTTGAAAAAACTGGAAGAGAGGCAGAAGTTGAAAAGTGATTAGTTTTAGAAAAGGTCTTAATCAATTAATATCTCCTATGTCAACACAAAAGTATAACACTCACCTCAAAGGGGATAAGAAAGTTTATTCTGGAGCCAAATATGACCATGACCTGGGAACACGGACTCAGGTTACCCCAAATTCCATGTTCCAGCGTGGTAACAGTTGTCTTACATTTCTATAGTAACAGAACAAAGAAGTCATAAATCAAGACACTTGTCAAATATATTGGTGGATACATTCAGTAGGTGGGTCACAGCAGAGCAAGGGGTTTTTTACTATAGATCTCAGATGCTATCTGATGACATTCTTAGCCTTTTGATTGGTGACATTGGGTGGTCTGCTAGGATAATACATTCTAATAGGTTTTTATCTGTTAGTTACAGGATGATAGATCAGAAACAGAGGTGGGTAAGGAGTGGCTGTTTAGGGGGCTAAAGATGGCCCGAGACAAATGGTAATTAGACTCTGGACCTGCAACATTCCAAACTCTCCGAAGTTTCTGGGGTGATAATCAGTTGGTGAGTCTTGCAGGAAATTCAGTCCAAGGTGTAGGAGTTCTTTTTGGGAACTTTTCCTTCACACCTAGGAGTTTTAAAAGTCATTAAGTATGAGCAATGCATCTTCTCATAATTGTAGTCACTGTGGATGAATGGTGTGATTTGTTATAATGGATCCTAGATAAGAAAAAGGAGCAGTTTGTTGAATTTTTTTCTGAGTTATTGTAAGACCAGCCTGTTAAAGTAGACATGGATTCAGAAGCACGCAAGAGATCATATATTAGTGAGGAAAAGTGCTGTGTAAAGGAGCAAGAACAGCTGAAATATATCTCCTACATAAAGAAAGACTATTAGCCATTCCTTGAGGAACAACTTTCCACTGGTAGCTAGATATTGGTTCCTGAAAATTTAAAGGAGGAAGACTAAAGGCAAAGTGAGGAGGGTCCTGTGGGTGTAATGGAATAATAAAGAATGCACCCTTGAGATCTAAAATTATAAGATGCCAATTAAGAGAAACAGCAGTTGGAGTAGGTAGCCCAGGTTGTAAAGAACCCATTAGTTTCATAACTTGATTGACAGCTCTAAGAGTCTATAATTATCGCCATTTTCCTGATTTTTTTTATTATAAAAATAGGAGTATTCTAAGAACTTATGGAAGTTTCAATGTGTCCTGCTTGTTATTGTTCTTGAACTAACTCATGAGCAGCAACTAATTTTTCCTTAGATAAGGGCCACTGACCCACTCAGAGTGGTTTTGAACTAGTTCAAACAATAGCATGTACATGTCTGGAGGAAGGAGGTATCAGTGGCCCCTAGAAAAACCCAGCCCCTCCCTTCCTTGACCAGGAGAGGGTATGAGAGTCTCAAGACTTCCCTGTTGTTTACTGAGACCCTTTCTAGAGTCATATCCCCATTGTACATTTGCTTGCAAACACTGGGTAAAGGGGCATAAACCATAGCACCCATCTGTGACAACATATCTCTTCCCCATAGGTTAACAGGGAGAGAAGGAAGTTCGTAAGGCTGACAGGTACCTCGATGTCCCTCCAATGATTACAATTAAGTAAATTTGTACTTTTTTTTTTTTTTTTTTTTTTTTTTAAGGATTTTGTGTTTGTCTAATTCCTTGTAAGTCAGTGTAAGCCACATGCTTTTTCCACTCAAGTGGCCAATGTTGGAGGCTGAGAACAGATATGTCAGGTCTGGTATCAATAAGACCTTGAAAAGTTTTTCCTTGAATAATTGTCATTTCAGGGCATTACTGAACTGAAGCAATCTTACAGGTTCCTTCTGGGAGAGGCCCATATACTCCAGTGAGGATGGCTTGTGGGCCCATTTCTGGAATTAGTAGGAAGTAGGAGGTGGAACAGAGGTACAGGCTGGCGGATCCTGGAGTAGCTCTTTGGAGGGAGTAGACAGATTGGAAGTTCCCTTAGTCATGACTGCTATTGTTTGTTGGGGCCACAGCTGACCCCAGGAGGTTTCCTGTCAGGGGTTGTCCTGTAGCAGTCAACTCTGATCTATATTCATTAGCCCAGAGGCCTCTTTTCCATCTTGGGCATAAACCAGGTATTTTGTTATTCATTCAAGACCTGCTGTTAGGAGGATTGGGGCAGTCTCTGACAAAATGACCTGACTCACCACAGTGATAGCATCCATTTGTCTTTTGCTTTTTCATTTTTTGATTGAATCCTTTTCCTCCAGCTGAAAGTTGCTGCCTTAAAAATCGGTGTGGAGTCATTTCTTTAAAAGCAGCAGCAATAGCCAATCCCTGCATATAGAAAAGCCCAATATCAGCACACAATCTGATATATTCAAACAAGGTTCCTTTCTTTCTAAAAGGTCTAAAGGCAGCCTGACAGGCTTGATTAGCATTTGTATAGGCTAGCTGCTTCAACAGTAACATCCCCCCTTTTCCATCATCATTTTACTCCTATTCCGTCCTCTCCTGACGATCCCCTTACCTGAAAACTCTGTATTCTTGTATTTAATACTGTCAGGACACCCACTCGAGTACTCAGGGGCTCTGTTCAGGTGCCTGGGGCCTGCAGTCCAGCTGTGGAGGAACGGTAGTGAATTAAGGAAAACAGACAGACGGAAACAGCTGGGATCAGGAGGCCCTGCAGGCTGATGACCATGCAGGTGCTTTATTTCAGGATAACAATGTTTTTATACCTTGCCTCAAAGCAGGAAAAAAAACTACTATGGAAATACAACACAAAACTGTAAGTTCCTTTGAACCACGCAGTTTCAATAATCACAGTTTCATTAATCACATGTACTCGCGTCAGCAGTAACCAAGCAGAACATCTAAGACAAAGGGATGTACCTGGGAACAGTTTCATTTATAATATGTAATTGTATAAGCAGCATCCAAGCAGAACTACTAAGAGAAAGACATGCACCTGGAGACTGATTACCAGAGAATGAATGACCTCTACAGGCTCAGCACAGAATCAGCTAGGATAGGGTTTTTTTTTTTTTTTTTTTTTGGCAGTATCCCATTGGCTGCTGGGGGGTGGGGTGGGCTGCCTACACCTGGCAGCCCTGAATATTCGGCTCCCAACAAACACTAGCTGCTTTTACAGAGGACTCAGGTTTGGTTCCAACACCCACATGGAGGCTACAGGTGTGTTTACATACATTCAGGCAAAACACTCATACACATAAAAATAATCAGAGTAAATGTGAAGGTTAACATTCTTTAATATTAGAAAATATTCCTTAATATTATGCCTTGGGTTGGAGAGATGGCTCAGCAGACAAGAACAATGGCTGCTTCTGCTGAGGACCCAGGTTTGGTTTCCAGGACCCACATGGCAGCTATCAACCATCTCTAACTCCAGTTCTAGGGCTCCAATGCCCTCTTCTGACCTTCTTGGGCACTGACATGGGCGCACTTACACACATGCAGGTAACATACTCATACACATAAAATAAAAATAATAAAATAAAAAATTAAGTTGTCTTAAAAGACATGTAAAAACATCTTATTTGAGGTTAGTAACATGGCTCAACAGCTAACAGAATTTACTGAGCCACCCTGTCAAAGACCCAACTCCTAAAGTTTGTTCTCTGATTTCCATTCTTGAGTGCTTGCACTCAACACTCACATCACACACACATACACACACACACACACACACACACACACACGCACCCAAAAAAACAAAAAAAAATCTTACTTGGAGAAAATACACATTTAAAAGTGTGAACTATAAGCCAGACTTGTTGGTGCACACCCTTAATCCCAGCACATTGGAGGCAGAAGCAGGCGGATCTCTGTGAGTTTGAGGCCAGTAAGGTCTACAAAGCAAGTTCTAGGCCAGCTGGGGCTACAGAGAGATCCTGTCTCAAAAACCAAAAAAAAAAAAGTATGAGATATAAAACCTGTGCAAAAATGTCATTCTTGAGAAAATGCAAGGGGGCATCTAAATGTAAGGAAACTGTCAAGTACAAACACCAAAACCTGCTGTGTAAAGATATTAATGCTAACCATATCTTTTTTTTTTTTTTTCGTCTTTTGAGACAGGGTCTCCCTGTAGCCCCAGGTGTCCTGGAACTCACTATGTGGACCAGGCTGGCCTCGAACGCACAGAGATCTGCCTGCCTCTGCCTCCCGAGTGCTGGGATTAAAGGCATGTGCCAACACACTCAAAAACTACCTAAAGGGCCAGTAAAATAGCTCAGGGGGTAAAGACACTTGCTGTTAAGCCTGACAACCCAAGTTTGATCTCAGAACCACCCACAAGGTTGAAAGACGGAACTCCAGCAAGATATACTCTGACATCTGTATGCATCCAAATACATATTTATGAAATCAGTAAGTATAGTCCAAAAAATACCTAAAAATTAAGCCTCCTGAATGTATTTGAATTCAAAGAATCCAATGTAGCTTTATAGTAAAGAAAAAAAGTATCTCATTTTGATGAGAGGTAGGTGAAATCACACTGCTATTACTAAATCATACATTCAATGGTTTCAAAAATGTAATAAAGTCAAGAAATCTTATGTCATAATGGAACAATAATACTAACAACTTTTACTGTTTTCTTTCAAGTTGTTTATTTTCAGGAATATTTTACATTACTTTGTTCAAGGTATCTGTTCACATTTCTTACTTTTACAATATATAACTACTAAGAAAATTTAATGACTTTTACTTATTTGTAACAACATACCACTTTCTTGTATTTCTGACAATGATAATTTACTTTGGCTGAAATCGGTTCTTATCTCTCTCAAGCTGTATTCAAATCCACCATACTCAATGTTGTAATTCTCTAACCTCTACCCCCCACCCCCAGTGTTGGAATAAGACGAACACTATGATGTCTGGTGCAACAGCAGGTCTGCATCCTATCCACACTTGGTTAAAAGGGCCAAAATTACACATCTGCAGGTTTTACATTCTGTAGTATCTGTCCACACTCCTTTATCATATTTCACAATAAAAGCTAGCTGCAGGCTGGTGAGATGGTTTAGAAGGAAAAAGTGCTTACTGCCAAGCCTGAGGACCTAAGTTCAATCCCTGGGACTCACATGATAGAGAAAATTCAATCCCTCAGTTTGTCTGCTGACCTCCACATGTACACTGGGGTATGGGTATGCTTCCCCCCAACACCTCACATACACAAACAAATAAGTGAATACATAAATAAATGTAATAAGCCTTTTTCAAAAAACATGTAGACTATAGTTACACATGATTTACAGGGCTATACACTCTACCCACTTAGTTTCTATGAATTCTTTCATGTCTATGAAGGTGTGAGGAAGATGTAAATGCTTTCCCACATTGATTACATTCATAGGACTTTTCTTGAGTGTGATTTTTCTCATGTATTTGAAGGGATTTAGAAAAAGTGAACGCTTCCCCACACTGTACACACACATATGGTTTCTCTCTAGTATGAATTCTTTCATGCCTGTAACAAGCACTAGAATTGACAAAAGCTTTTCCACAATGCTTACATGTATAGGGTTTCTCTCCAGTGTGGATTTTTGCATGTTTGCGAAGGTATGCAGAAAATGTAAATGCTTTCCCGCATTCCTTACAAACATAGGGTTTGTCTCCACTGTGAATTCTTTCGTGATTGTAACAGCCACTGGCACTGATGAACGCTTTTCCACAATGCTTACATGCAAAAAGTTTCTCTCCACTGTGAATTCTTTCATGTTTACGAAGGTTTGGAGAACGTCTAAATGCTTTCCCACACTGATTACATGCATAACGTTTCTCTCGAGTGTGACGTCTTTCATGCCGGAGAAGTTGATAAGAATGACTGCATGTTTTCCCACAGTGTTTACATATATAAGTATTCCCTCTTTTGTGAGTTCTTTCATGATTATAACGGGCCATGGAATAGATGAAAGCTTCACCACAATGCCTACATGCAAAAGTTTTCTCTTTAGTGTGCATTCTCTCATGTTTGATAAGGTTACTGGAACCAGTGTGAGTTCTCTCATAATCTTGGTCAGAAGTGAGACTCCTAGAGGATTCATTACACTGTTCATTTTCCTTGGTTTTTTCTTTAGAAGGACGGCTCTCGTGCATTTGAAAGAACTCAGAATAAATGAAATCTTCCCATTTCTTATATTTAAAAGATTTTCCGACATGTTCCTGATACTCGACTGGTTTCTCTTCCAGGTGACCTCTGAGGTGCGCATATGACTGTGAATCACCAATGATGCCACTTTCACACATACTGCTTTCATATAATGTTATGCCAGGAGGTATGTCCTCATTAACAATATGCTCTGAAATCTGTTGGTGGGTTTCTCCACAATGACTGCCGTGTTCATACTGACAGAATCTCTCAACCACCTGAATTCTGCAAAGAATGAGAAAAGCATTATTCCATTTTTATGATTAGATGTGGGAAGTTGTTGTGGCCCACGTCTCTTCCTGGAGCATCTAGGAGGCAATGAAAGAGTACATCAAGTATGAGGTCAACCTGGGCCACATGGAAAGACTGTCTTAAGGAAAATATTGAGTTTATTTCCATAAGAATTTATGACATAGGGGTTAGAGAGATGGTTCAGTGCTTAGTTAAGAGCATTTGCTGTTCTTACAGAGGACCTGGATTCAGTTCTCAGCACCCACATCGCAGTTCACAACCACTTTCAACTTTAGTTCCAGGGGATCCGATGCCCTCTTCCAAACTCAGTGGGCAACAGGCATGCAAATAGTGAATATACTTACACATATGCACTCACATACATGCAGGCAATACATTCATACACACAAAATAAAAATAAATAAAATATTAAAAAATAATAATAATAAATAAAATCTTAAAAAAAAATTTTTTTTAAAGAATTTATGACAGTGGAGAGATGGCTCCGCAGTTAAGAGCACTGGCTGCTCTTGCAGAGGGCCCAGGTTTAATTCCCAGCACTCACATGGAGGCTAACAACTGTCCACAATTCCAGTTCCAGGGGATCTGATGCCCTCTTCTGACCTCTGTGGGCATTGACAACATGGTTACACCTCTCTACATGTAGGTAATACACTCATACACATAAAAAAGAAATAAAAATTTTAAAATTATGACATAAAAGGGCATAGCACTGAGCATGGACAGCATACAGTCAAACAAGGTTCAGTAGTACTAGTTCTCTTAGGCATATCATAAACATTAATTAGTTGTACCACAGCTAACAATGCTGAACATTCCTTATGCAAAATGGCATGGATCAGGCATTATGTAATTTTAAATAGCCAAATATCCTTAATGCAATTTACTGAAGATGGCTCTCAATCTAAACCCAAAACTCATGTTTTCTTCACATACACCTTATATTTATAGTCTAAAGGTAACTTGCTAAAAACATATCAAATACTTGTTTGCATATACGGAAGTTTTTGTATAATGAACCACTAGAAAATGTCTTACATTACAGAGCTGGGATCCTCAAATTCTGAACACTCAAACTCAATGCAGTTTTACAGAAAAGTTGAGATTAAATCAATTTACACTTAGAAGTATTTGGAACATTAGCTATGCTCTCAGATTTCCTATCTATCTTTTTTAGTGTAACTTACCTCAGAGTTCTTCTGAGACTTTGGTAGTTCTCTTCAATATTTTCTTCCTCTGTTTGCCCTAAAAAGTTAATACAAATAAATCATGACTTATTCAACATTACACAAAAGTTATTACACGCTAGCTTTTTCTTTTCTATAATGTGAGCCAAGCATGCTATACTTACTATCATGTTTATCTACAAAGATAAGCAAGAAACAGTTTTATTCCAATTGAGTAAGAAAAGGAATCATGCTGAGTGTGGTGGCACACCCGTGCAGGCCCAGCACTCAAGGCATAGGCAGGTGGATCTCTATGAGATCAAGGCCAGTCTGGTTTACATAGCAAGTGCCAGGCCAGCTGGGGCTACTGTCTCAAAAAGACCAAAAAAAGAAAAAGGGATCACAATATATTAGTTTTACCTATGGAGATCAGGTTCATACAGGTTTCTGTCATCACATCTCTGTAGAGCTGCTTTTGAGAAGAATTCAACAGAGCCCACTCTCCTAGAGTAAACTTCACAGCTACATCCTCAAAGGTCACTGGTTCCTGAAAAAATTCACATGCAGTTATACAAATGGTGAAAACGGCAGGGTATGGTGGTGCATGCCTTTAGTCTTAGCACTAGGGAGGCAGAGGCAGGCGGATCTCTGTGAGTTCAAGGCCAGGTGTGTCTATATAGCGAGTTCCAGCTGGGCCAGGGGCAAGGAAGGGTCATGAGGGATTAAAGCTATATGTGTAGCTTACAAAAGGAGCCCAGGGCCTACTAAACTTGTTGACATTGTAAAGAAGCTGAGAAAGTGTCCCAGAAAAGTCATTCCTACACATAATAAAGTAACAACAGAACATGATCCCTTGTGATGCTGATCCCAATTATTTTTTGTACATGGGGTCTTCAGCACCATATATAACAAGGTGCTACAATATGAACCCTAGACAGTAAACACCAAATGTTCTGAGTCTGTACAGTTATTAGAAATGTTTGTGAGCAAACGTCACCCACTTCTGAAGTCTGGAAACTTCTATCAGAAGGGAGATATCCTGCCTAAAGAGGGGCTCACTGAAAAGCAACAGCTTATAGCAACAATATACTACAGTATTTAGTGAAGTCCTATTATTCCTTCAATGGTAGCATATTTCTAACATACTCAAGCAGGGACTTTACAACATCAAAACCCAAAAAAAATCTAGATGAAAAATTTCTTTTATCACTGGTCTGACAGATAGTTGGAACATCTACTGGCAAAATTTGTTACTTAGGTCACTGAGTACTTAGGTCATCCTCTATAATTATACCCAGTGACATTAGGAAGGTTATCCCTATGTTCTCATAGAATATTAAACTGAAACAAGTGGTCTCTCATAGACCAATCTTGATTTAATACTAAATAAGACACTAAGAATAATTCTCTGTGCTAAAAATGAACACTAGATTTTGTTGAATAGTGGTTATTGTCCATGGACATAAACACAATAGAGCAATGACACAAAAAACCTATTTTACATTGGATGTATCAAATGCTGTAATTTCCACAACACTTTTAGATGGCTAAGTAATAATCACATACATACATATTAGAGACTCGTGGGCCAACATCACAGTGTTATTAGCAAAAAAATGAGTCTTTCTGTAAAAAATATTATATTTTAAAATGAAATGGAGATCTTTTTTAAATATTAAAAACTCATTCAATTTTATGTCTTACAGGGTTTATACTGAGTTCAATATTGTATAACTGTATTAATTCAACTGTGAACCTAAAAATTTTATAGCTACTTTTGAAAGAGATGTATCTTTGCTCTGGAAATTGTTATTGAGTATGTTAAAGCTGTAATGAAATGCTTCTTCTAAAATATAAATTTTTTTAAAAAAATTACTTATTCAAATCTGTATGAAATAATAAATGCTTGGTAGCATTAAGAATATTAGGGATAGCTGGACGTGGTGGCACATGCCTTTAGTCCCAGCACTCAGGAGGCAGAGACACACAGATCTCTGTGAGGCCAACCTGGTCTACATACCAAGTGCCAGCTGGGGCTACAGGGAGACCTGGCCTCAAAAACACCAAAAAGAAAAAAAAAAGGGAGTATTAGGAATAATGGGCTGGAGAGATGGCTCAGCAATTAGGAGCATAGGTTGCTCTCACAGAAGACCAGGGTTTGAATCCCAGCACCCACATGGCAGTTAACTCTTAATTCGAGTTCCAGGGGATCCAATGCATTCTTCTGTCCTCCATGGGCATTGTATGACACAGGAGCACTTACATACAGGCAGGCAATACACCTATATACACAAAATAAAAATAAATTTAAAGAGTATTAGGAATAAGAAAATTACAGCTTGATCCAGATATGGAGGTACATGTATCTAATACCAAGAGATACCACATAAGGTTATTTTTTCATTTGGTCTTTTTGAGACAGGGTCTCCCTGTGGCCCCAGCTGGCCTTGAACTCACAGAGATCTGCCTGCCTCTGCCTCCCAGTGCTAGGATTAAAAGTGTGCGCCATCACACCTGGCTAAAAGGTATTATACCACATATAACAATCTTACTTGCCTGGCATGGTGGCACATGCCTTTAATCTCAGCAGCACTCAGGAGGCAGAGGTAGGCACATCTCTGTGAGTTTGAGGCCAGTCTGGTCTATCTAGTGAGTTCTAGCAGCTGGGGATACAGGGAGACCCTGTCTCAAAAAAAAAAAAAAAAAAAAAAAAAAGATCAAAATCATCATCATCATCATCATCTTACTAGGATGAGGACAGAGGACCTTGAGGTCAAGGCCTGCCTGAGCTGTATAATAAAAAGAAAAAAGAAAAATTAAAAGATAAGACTTTGGGACTGTTCAGGCTACTGCAATATAAAGACAGAGATGAACAGAGGAAAGTAAAATAGATTTCTGTGACATGACATAAACAGAAAACTGATTCAAGACAGAGCAGGCCTTGAACAACAATGAATCTCTTTATTGCTTAAGGTGGTAACAATATCCACTTGGAGACGGGAGTTGTAATCCCCTCTAGTCTACGGATAGCAGTCAAAATTAACAAGGGGAAGATGAAAACAGAAACCTATATTATGTGCAATACTTTTTAAGTAATTACAAAACACTCAGGCTAAAACAGGAAAGGATGATGAAATCCACCCTAGACTATGTAACCAGCTTCAGACAACCCTTGCCTCATAGCAAGACTTTGTCTAAAGAAAAGCCAGTCAACTGACCTTCAAATGAAAGAACAGAATTTCCTCTTCAGAGAAAAAAGTCATTTCTATAGAATGTATGGAGAAATGTAATATATCGCATTTGGTGTTTCAAAGCCACATTACTGTTATGCCTTCATTAAGAAACAGCCTGGTGCTTAGCATTTGCTTAAGGCCAAGAATGGACCCCAACGGCCGAGCACCATTCTTTCTGCTCTCTCAGAACTGTACTTCTGAGCCAGGGCCTTGCTCATTCTTTTATTGAAACAGTATCTCCAGCATGAAATGGCAGAAATAGAAGTCAGGACCAGCCCTTATCAGAAAATTTTCCCTTTAATTCCTAGGCCTAGAATCAATCTCTCTCTCTCTCTCTCTCTCTCTCTCTCTCTCTCTCTCTCTCTCTCTCTCACAAAAAAACAATAGATTTCTCCATTTGTTTTCAGTGCTTCTGATATGTGAAGTGTGCAGACCCACATTCATTCACTATCTTGGGTGGAAGGTAAGAAGTCCTGAGGGAATCAGAAGAGCACATGACTCTGTGAGCTTATTTACATTATAAACAGTAATTTTTGGTTGCAAGGATTAGGTAAAAGTCTTTAGTTCAGATATGTCTATATCATAAAAGTCATTCACTCCTACATATATAAATAAGAGAAGTGAAAGACAATCAAGCAAAAGACAGTATTTGCAGTCAAGGAGGTCAGAAGAGGGTATGGAATCCCCTAGAACTGGAGTTAGAATGGTTGTTAGCCACCATGTGGGTGCTTGGAATCAAACCTGGGTCCTCTGCAAGATTAGCCAGTGCTTTTAACAACTGAGCCACCATTGAGGAGACTGAAGCCATTGTGTTTCTTAATCACTTGCATCTATATGTACTATTTTTTAAACATTTAAAATTTTCTTTCTGTTTGATTTCATATGTATTGAGTCTTTTGCACCCATATTGTGCAATGCCCACAGAGGCTAGAAGAGGGAGCCAGATCCCCTGGAACTGGAGTTACAGATAGTCATTAGCTGCCATGTAGATGTGGGAACTGAATCCGGGTTCTCTGGAAGAGCATCAAGTACTCTTAATTCCTAAGCCATCTCTCTAGCCCCTATATGTACTTTTAAAAAAAAATAAAATAAAAACACTTTAATATATGAAAACATAAAACTGTACATATTAAGAAGGCACCATATGATAGTTCAAACCTGTATATATTGTATGTTTAAATCAACTTAACCATATCTACTTTTAAAATGTTTTTGTTTGGGGGGGCTTTTTTGGTTTTCTTTTTTTTTTTTTTTTTTTTTTGGTGTGTGTTTTTTGAGACAGGGTCTCTCTCTGTAGCCCCAGCTGTCCTGAAACTCACTATGTAGACCAAGCTGGCCTCAAACTCACAGAGAACCACCTGCTTCTTCCTGCCAAGTGCTGGGATTAAAGTCATGCACCACACACCAGGCATCATCTTTAAAAAAAAAAAAATGTATTGAGAATTTTATACATGCATATTAGGGCGTTTTGATCAAATTCACACCCACTCCCTGCCTTCCAACTCCTCCCATATCTCCCCATCATTTTTTTCTGACAACTTTGCCATATGCACTATTTTTGACATCGCTGAAAAGTCAACTTGAAAATGTTCTAACAACATGGCCACTAACTCAAAGAAATAATTAGGTTAAGCCCAACCTCAGACATGAACATGTATGAGTCATACCAAAATAAAAAGAATACTCATGTTTATAATACCTTTAATAGCCACCTTTTGAAAGAACCAAGATAAAGCTGTACGTATAGTATAGGACATAGGCAGGGTGTGGTGATGCAGACCCAGTCTCCAAAAAAAGGATGGTATCTGTTGTGGTTTTCATTTGATTGACCATATCCTTGATTTGAACTACTTCTGTATGATTCTTTTTCAATCTCCTTGTTGAATGTTTCCTGCATATTTTGGACTTTTACCTCCAATTTACTAATTGTTTCATTCACTTTGGAGACTGTCTTGTTGAGGTCTTGGATAAATTTTCTCAATTCATGGACCTGTTTGTTGAATCTTTTATATAATCCATAAGTCTTTTTGAAAAGTAAGACTGAGTTCTTTCTCAGGCATTTCAGCTATCTCTGTAGTTTTGGATTCCCTTTATAGTAGAGTTGGGGATGGGTCATGGGTGGTGGCTGTGTTCTATTTCCTATGATTCTTTGTAGTGGGATCTGCATGAGGTTCAGCTATGAGGACTGATGAAACTTGGGTTTGTCAATGGAGTCATGATACCATCATCAACAGACAAGACTATGCAAAAGAATGAATTTCAGGGATGGAGAATAAAGTCAAGACAAAAATACAGTCAGACAAATATATATATA